AATCCAAAAAATTCACAAAAATCGCGGAAAAAACAAAAAAAAAATTCACAAAAAATCGCGGGAAAAATCCCGGAAAAAAACCCCAAAAAAATTCACAAAAAATCCCGGAAAAAATCCCGGGAAAATCCCGCAAAAAAACCACAAAAATCGGGGAAAAAACAAAAAAAAAAAAAAGACAAAAAATTGCGGGAAAAATCCCACAAAAAACTCAAAAAATTCACAAAAAGTCGCGGAAAAATCCCGGAAAAAATTCACAAAAAATCGCGGGAAAAATCCCGGAAAAAATTCACAAAAAATTCACAAAAAATCGCGGAAAAATCCCGCAAAAAACCCCAAAAAATTCACGAAAAATCGCGGGAAAATCCCCAAAAAATTCACCAAAAATCGCGGGAAAAAACCAAAAAAATCACAAAAAATCGCGGGAAAATCCCCCAAAAAACCCACAAAAAATCGCGGGAAAATCCCCAAAAAATTCACAAAAAATCGCGGGAAAATCCCAAAAAAAATTCACAAAAAATTCACAAAAAAACCAAAAAATTCACAAAAAATCGCGGAAAAATCCCCAAAAAATTCACAAAAAATCGCGGGAAAATCCCCCAAAAAATTCACAAAAAACTCAAAAAATCCACAAAAAATGGCGGGAAAATCCCCAAAAAATTCACAAAAAATCGCGGGAAAAATCCCCAAAAAATTCACAAAAAATCGCGGGAAAATCCCCCAAAAAATTCACAAAAAACTCAAAAAATCCACAAAAAATGGCGGGAAAATCCCCAAAAAATTCAAAAAAAATCGCGGGAAAAATCCCCAAAAAATTCACCAAAAAACCTCAAAAAACCCATAAAAAATCGCGGAAAAAATCCCGGGAAAAATCGCAAAAAAATTCACAAATAATCCCGGAAAACACTGAAAAAATCCCCAAAAAATTCACAAAAAACCTCAAAAAATCCATAAAAAATCGCGGAAAAAATCCCGGGAAAAATCGCAAAAAAATTCACAAATAATCCCGGAAAACACTGAAAAAATCCCCAAAAAATTCACAAAAAACTCAAAAAAATTCACAAAAAATCCCGGGAAAAATCCCCCAAAAATTCACAAATAATCTCGGGAAAAATCCCGGAAAAAAAATCCCCAAAAAATTCACAAAAAATCGCGGAAAAAATCCCCAAAAAATAACAAAAAATTCCACAAAAACCACAAAAAATTCACAAAAAATCCCGGAGAAAACTCAAAAAATTCACAAAAAATCCCGGAAAAATCCCGGAAAAATCCACAAAAAATCCCACAAAAAATCCCACAAAAAAAACCCCCAAAAATAAAAAAACCCACCCAAAACCAAAAACAATCTCAAAAAAACACCCAAAAATACGGAAAATTTTTTTTTAAAATATCCCTCACAAAGCTAAGGAAAAAAATCTAAAAAAAAGCCGAAAAAAAGCTCAAAAATCCCCACCGAAAATGCCGAAAAAAACTTTGAAAAAAAAGAAAAAACCAACCAAAAAGGACCCCAAAAACGCCCAAAAATTCCCCCCCAAAAAAAATCCCAACCCCTCCCAAAAAAATCCCCCCAAAACCCACCCGGGAGGGGCCTCGCCATCCCATAATAAGCCCCGGGGACGCCGTGATGGTTTTTGGGGGGGGG